TGATGCTGCTGGTCTAGGGACCACACTTTGAGAAGCAAGCCTCTATATCTTATTCAAAGATGTTCATGCCCTTCAATGAGAATTTTCTGAGCTTCTCCCACGTGTCCAGCACCCACGAGGCACTCCTGAGGACTCAGTATGAGGCACCCAGCTGGGTGGCCCAGGGTTTTGAGAGCAAGTGTAGAAGGCTGTGTCAGATGGCAGACAGCGTGGTGAAGGTGTGGTGCAGTAGCATCATAAATGTGATAATTCTTAAGATTCTTGAAAAGCTAACTCATTCTGCCGTGGCAACCAGCAATCAGAGGTGTCAGGCGATAGATTAAAGCTTGACACATAATTTGATTGGAGAGGAACTGAAGATAGCAAGTACTTTATATTTGTGGAGCACCTTATTTTTCCATGGAGCTCCAAGCATGCTGCCTGCTCCCTCACCTGGGGAAGGGAGGGTAGAGGGGAGCTTTAATAACAGGCTGCAGGTTCTAAAGCCGTATTATTAAGTGAATGCTGGCCAGCTGTTCTCAATGCCCCTTCCTCCCACAACCTGAAAAGCAGCACAAGAATAAAGGGCTAAAATAGCCCCAGATTATACATAGCAAAGACTTACTCGTGGAAGAGGTTCTGTGGTTGGAACAGACTCTCAGGGGAGGTATGGAGCTCCCTGAAAAGGAAGGTCTTACTATCCCAGCTCAGCCATTTCTGGTCATGAAACTGTGGCCAGTCGTCACACAATGAAGGAAGGAATCAGAGTCTCTGAAAGGTCCCTCCTGGCCCCCACATTCTACAAAGTATGACATTAGACTCTCTGGGGGCCACAGGATGGGTCAGAAGTGTTTGTGCATCAGAGGGACCCTAGAGGATCCTTCCAGCCCAGAGGGAACCAAAACCCTTTGGCTCAGAGAAGCACCTTGCTTTATGAGGTGGGAGCATCCTGCCGCTGTGACTGTTCTCCCCCCGCCTCACCCTCCCTCATCCTCCCCACCTGGATAGCTTAACCCAGCCTGAAGGCCTTCTGCAGAAGAGGCCCAAGCCGGGCCCAGACACACTCTGTTCTGTGCTGATACTCCTGCCCTTTTACATTTCCTACACACCTTATAGGAAATCAAAGCAGTTAGTCATTCCTGCCAACTCAGCATTCCCAACCCTCCCTACCTCTTTCTCATCTCTGCTGCTGGGACTGGCTTAACCAGTCCAATCTGAACAAGAAACTGGTTGAGCTGTAAGAGCCCCACGTTTAGACCATGGGACACACCAGACATCTGAAGGCTTTGGGGCCTGTATCAGACAGAGAAAATAGGATTTAGAATGAGCTTAAGTGGGTTGGTATTTCCCCAAACCCAGATTTTTGGTCCTAGTGTCTGCATGTTGAACTTTTACTTTAGATCTTTTTTTGTCATTCTAGAGCACTGTATTGTTAGATCTATAAGTCAAGGAAATGGAATACGACTGGTATCATTAAACCTTTGAGCTGGAAAAAAAGGGGAAATTAATCCAATGCAGCCTCTTATTATAGAGATGAGAAATCCTGAGATCCAGAGAGGAAGTGACTTGTCCAAAGGCACTCCGGCCTGTGGGACAGCACAGCCAGAACTAAAATCTAGGGCTTTGCCACTGCGTTATGTTTCTCTCTCATCACATGGCCCATGGTTGAAATCTGCTTCTGAGAAAGAGGTGTTCATTTCTTTTTCAGTCCTGCCAGCTCTGGTCTCAAAGCAGAACCATTAGTTCTTCAGCAGAAAGGGGTCAGGCCCACTTTCTTCCCCTTTTGTGGACTGTTGGCTAATTCTCATTCCGTGATCTTTGTCATTGGTGACAATGTGCAACACAGAGCAAAAAATAGCAGATTTGTTCCCCACATTCCAAGCTGAGCTTGAAGTGCTGGCAGTTTAAACGAACTACACAAATAAATCTTGTTTTGACTCATAGTCAAGGGGTGGATAAATATGGAAACCCCCAAGATATAATTTTACAGTAATTTTTTTCTTAGCATAACTGCAAGCTTTAATGTGCTGAGAAATTTTTGTTCTGGCTCCAGAAAGATAGCAGCACCCTCCCAGTTAAGTGCTTTTCTTACCTCCCAGCAAATAGATGTGCGTGCGCGCGCGCACACACACACACACACACACACACACACACACTACAACCAACCAAACCCAACAGCTGCACATTCGGAGCTAAATGTCAGTCCGCTGCTCCAAATTGACAGCCTTGTTATTTAAAATCAGAGATGCATAATCTTTTGAATTCCAACTAGTCTATCTTCCAACAAGTTCAAGTTCACAGAAAGGCAACTAAAGTGATTGGAGGTGTAGAGAGGCTTCTGTATCTAAGTCAGAAGAGGGAAACCAGCTCTAGAGGCCTATTTCACAGCTCAGAGCAAAGAGGAGCAATTGGGGCGGGCCCCACAGGACAGCAGAGCCAGGTCTCCTACAGAGATTGTGTGCACGGCTAAGGGGCTTCAGCTCCCTCTGACCTGGCATGACTATGGGACTTTACCAATAACTGTAGAAACATCAGCAGAGGTTGGAGGACGTAGACTTGTTCTTCAGAAGAGGTGAACTTTGGACTTTTAAAAGGAAGTGTTGCTTCATCAGGTGGATAATTATGAGCATCTTTGTGGCAAGTGATATATAGGCTGAAAACCTAGTTATGTGTACAAAAAGGGTGGAGTTTAGTCAGAGGTTAAAGTGAGAGAGGACCATGAGACACCCACCCCAGCCCCAACCCCTCCTTGTGGGTGGCCCTGTGTCAGAGACTGACTTGGGGCTGGAGTGACGTCCACTGGTTGCCCACGGTAGCACACTCTCCAGTGTTATGTGTGGTCTCACTTATTTTTGCCACATCTTTGGAGAGAAACCGAATTCTCCTTTATCAGTGGCAGGCCAGGGCCCCTGAGAGGGAGTGAGTTGTGCAGAATGTCTGTGAAAGAGGAACAATGCAAAGAGCAGAAGCCACGGCTCCCGATGGGGACTTTCTGCCCCTTATAAGCTCTTCTATGTTTATATCCAGGAATTTCTTTTACAAAGAAGACTTCCCCTTCTTTTCCCAAGGGGCACACTGCTATGTGTGGTGCACAGGGCTCAAATGTCAGGCTTAGGACTGTTTCCTACCTCATCCAATCCCCTCCATCAGTACGCAGCATGCCCTTTAAAAGGGAGGAAACTGAGGCCACCATTCATACCAGATTGGGTTAGACTCCTGCCCTGGGATTTCAAGTCTGATGCTCATATTTTCAGAGTTTCCACGTCAAGAAATCCCACAAGCTTTAGTCATTCCTCACACATAAATCTACAAATATCTCTCCTGTACTCCAAGCAGCAAGCCCTTTGGCCCATCTCCTGCCTTCCTCCTCTTTTCTTCCTTTTCTGTATAAAACTCTTTGCCCAGGTTTCTGCGGCACAGCACAGTCAGAGAATGGGGGCATTCCCATTAACGACACAGCGTTCTTTATAATCCATAAGTGGGGTTTTTACTTGCAAATTTTTAAATGCAATCCACTTTACACATCAACTACAGTACACATAATTGAATCTATTTTGATGGGTCAGAAGACAACGTAAGATCTTGTGCCTTTGAGTCACCATTACCAACATTATTTACCATCTTACCATGGATATGTGGAATACTGCTTTTAGAGAGTTCTAGTTAATGAGACACTAAATAGCAGAGAGTTTGTTGGAAATCAGAATTTAGAGGAAAACATTAGAGAATTGTGGGCCCATATACTAAAGGGTCCTCATAACTCAGTGACTTTGATGTTGAATGTTCTCTTGGACTCTCTGAGCCTCAAAATCTCATTGATTTAAGTTTTTCCTGACTGAACAGCAATAAAATTGAATGTATACTTTAAGAAATCATTGGGGCTTAATTTCAAATGTAATTGCATTTAAACTTAAAAGAGGTGTACCTATTGGATGGGCTTTGGACATTTATTTGGAATGGCAATGTAAAATAGCTGAATTATTGGCGAAACTATAACTGTTAGCTTCTTCTCCCACAGCCCCCTCTCTTTAGTACATTTAGCTACAATGAATAACTATTCTCTACCAAATTATGATCAAAAGCCCCTAATTAAATAGCTCACAAGTAAAAATAACAACCTGCTTAAATGTGAACATTACCCTATGTCCTTACTAAATAGCTGTGTGGCCTGGGCCCTTTGCCCTCAGGAGAGGGACAGATGGTGCACCCACTTCACAGGGAGGACGCCAAGGCACGGGGACTCTGGGTACACAGGCCCCTGCTGGTCTGCCGCAGCCGCATGAGGAGTAAATAGGGTTGACCCCTTGAATAATTCTGTCACTTCTGGCCCAAGAGGTGCAGTTGCTATGGCCACACAGTTCTTCCCACACAGGGCTTCCTTCAGACCCAGAGTACCCAATGACAAGGCTCTGCAGACCCACGTGGTGACCTCCATGAGGCACACAACAGTCATTTTCCAGGCACCGTGGACCCAATAGCATGAATCAGATTTGGACCCAACCCTCAGAGAGCTTACGTGCCCAATATGAAATGCCTGGAGATGCCACTTCTAACCCAGCAACCCCTAGAACAGCCCCAAACCACATTGCATTAATTCCTTTGGTTCAGTCTTGTTAAGACTAAGTCTAGTCATGTAGGAATGGCCTCAGGGGGCTGTGAGCCCTGGAGAAGGACACATAGTTCAAATGTGCCCTCATCCTGATACCCACTCCCAGCACATCCAGGGGGTCTGTGTGTTCTGTCCACAGCCAAGGAGAGTGGCGAGGCAGAGGTCACTGCACTGACAGGGACTGGGGGCACCCAGAGGCACCCAGAGTGGGCCTCGGGCACCTGGCAGAAGCCTTGTAAACAGAGGCTGCCACAGAAGGTGGGTCTCCACTGTCAGGATGCCTCTGTTGTCACCTGGCCTATTGCAGCAGCAGGGCATTCGCAGCCGGATGTGTCTTTCCATCCAGCATTCCAAGCCTGCCCCCGGGTTCTCCCTGTGGATGCTTCTCTGAGTGGGGATGTCTGTTCCGCAGGAAGCTGTGGGGGACCGTATTCCTGTACTTCTGCTGGGCAATAAAATTGACAACGAGAAAGAGCGGGAAGTTCCCCGGGGTCTTGGAGAACAGCTGGCCAAGGTAAGAGCAGGCATCCCCATCTCTATGGACCGGGTGGCACCCAAGGCAGTTGGGCATGTGCCCCAGAGCCTTGGGGGGAACCTTCCCTGGAAGCCCACTGGGAACGGAGCGAGTGGGCAAGATAGGCGTCCAGCTCCTATGCATGTGGAACTTTCCATGGGAGCCTCAGATTGTAAGTGGGAGTTGGCCAGGGATGACTAAGGTGTGGGGAATTTTCCCAAATTCTTTCCCTCAGAAGTCAGAATTAGAAATTCTTAGATAGTGAGAAGTTGGTTATTTTAGTCCCTATCTGATGCTTGAATCCCATCATCTGTGTTTCCACTTGACTGCCTCCCGGGATGGAACACTCACTCACGGCAAGGCTGGTCCTTCTTTGGACAGCTCTGTGGAGAGTGCATCCTGTCTGTCAGATTGAGCCTCAAAGCTGTGAACTCGAGACCAACGCAGGGCACACACTAGATGGCCTGCCGTCAAACAAGCAGCGGCCCGCTTGCCCAGGCCCAGAACCAACAAGGTTGGACGGAAATCAGGCAGCAAAGCACGCCGTGCTCTCCCTGGGCTGCTCCAGCCCTCAGCATAGTTTTCGGGGCACCGTGTGTCTGGAAAGATGGGAGAGCTGTTCGGCCAAGGATTCATCATTTTAGTGTGCTCAATCTAAACAGAGGCTCGTGGCTCAGCGGCTGGGACAATGGGCACAGATGGTAAGATCCAAGGAAAAAGAAGGAAGAAGGGCCCGGTAGGTGTTCCTGTGGAGGGTCGCCAAGCAGCTACATCCACAAGCCCTCATCCTCAATTCCCAAATCCAAAAAGCTTTGAAAACAAAGAGCGGTTTTGACTTCATCTGGCAGAAGAATCTGACCAGAACTGACATGCAGCTATTTATGGTCTCTGTGTGCCACACTCTGAATGAATATTCAAATGTTTCACTGAAGAAATATTAATATGCTTGGTTACAGGATGCTGCCCCAGACCCACTGAGGGTACTATTTGATATCGTGTATACATGCATTATCTTTCTGAAACTCAAAATTTCTGGATTCTAAAATACAACTGGATCCAAGGATTTTGATTAAGCAACTGCAAGACCTATATTTTTATCATCCCGTTTTCTTTCTCTTTCTTTCTTTCTTTCTTTTTTTTTTTTTTTTTTTTTTTTTTTGTCAGTGAAAGAAAAACAGGCTCAGAGAAATTAAGTGATTTATTCAAAGTATCACACAGGTTCTCAGTGGTGGGGTCTGTAGTTGAGGCTGGAAGACAAACTGTGTCTTCCAATTTCAGGCCCTGTGCACATCCCCCACCTCCCCCTGAAACCTTCGTTCTTCACAGACTGGCCAGGAGTTAGGGTCTGACTGAGGCGGGAGGGGCAGGGGTGAAGAGGCTGGAGGACAGAGCTGGGTCCGTGGGGTGTGCAGCAGGAAAGCTGAATTGGAAACAAGCATTTGCAGAGTCTCTTGATCTGCAGCCACAAAAGAAGTGTCCTCACTCAACTGCCTGCATCCCCACAGGACATCAGCCTCCAGGGCTCAGTGCCATCAGCACTGTCATGAGGAAGCAGGACAGCTATAAATGGGAGTGATAAACAGAAAATGATAAGCCTTGGCCAAGGGCCCACTGTGCTGTGTGTGCAGCCCCGCCTCTGCCTGGTGAAGGGACGGACAGCTGTCCATGCACCAGGGCTGATAGCCACGCTGGAGTGCTAATTAACTGTGTGAAGGAGAATGCCTATGGGAGCCCTCAGTGACATCTGCCCCTAGGCCATGGCATGCCTGTGTCCTGGGAAAGGTAGGCTGCTCGGAGCCCTGCCATTAACTAAAGACAGGGCTGGAGCAGGCAGGCCACTTATACCTTCTCTAGCCTCAGTCTTCCTGCCCATGAAGTGGGAAGAATGTTGCCCATCCTGGCCTCTGAGTCTTTGCCTGTCTGCATCACAGGCTGGTGTGAAAAGGAAATGAGTACACGCTTTACCAGAGAGTAATTAGAGGGAGTGTGAAGCACTAAGGCAGTTTATGGTTTTGTTGCTTCACAGTTGTTACAGCTCACCTGGGAAATGGTTACAGAACTTTCCTGAGAAGACAGAAATCAACCTCTTAGAGAATGGCGAGGGGTGGAGGAATTAAAGGGGACTTGGAGAAGAAGCAGGGGTGTTGGTAGATGCAGACAGGGTGCTCTCCCCTACCCCACAGTTCCCTCCAGCTCCCCTCCTTTTATCCCCTCTGTTTTATGATTCTAGGAGAACAATCTGATCTTCTATGAATGCAGTGCCTATTCTGGTCACAACACCAAAGAGTCCTTGCTCCATTTGGCCAGGTAGAGGACAGCTCCACGGATGGGATGGGATAGGTGGGATGATGTGACTGCTTTGCGGGTCTGACAGGGACCACTGCATTCACCACCACCACCCACACCCACACCTGCGACCTCACTGCATTCACCAACCCCACCTCCTATCCCAGAACTCACTGCACTCCCCACCACCCCACTCCCCACCTGTAGCCTCATCTCACTCACCACACTCCCACACACCCCTACTCTCAACCTCACTGCATTCACCATCATCCCCCACCTCCCACCCCCAAGCTCACTGCATTCACCATCATCCCCCACCTCCCACCCCCAAGCTCACTGCATTCACCATCATCCCCCACCTCCCACAGACCTCTGGTCTGTTTTCTATGTGCCTGAGCCTCTGGGTAAATGGGCTGGTGGCCTGGGCCTTTGTGTGTGATTCCAGGGGTCAAGGGCAGCCTCTGAAACACACACAAAAAAAAGCCAAGAAGGAAGCCTCCCTGCCTGTCACTGGGTCTGCAATCTTCTCTCTTAAAGGCTGCCTTTCCCCAGGAAATCTTTATTTTTATTGCTAACACTATTATAGATGTCCCCCATTTGCATACCCCCTTTAGCCACCCCCTAATTCCCCCCTCCCACCCCCATCACCACACTGTTGTCTGTGCCCTCTTTTTAAATGCAAATGATCATGGGAAAGGTCATATCTTAGGTCCCACAATCCTGGCTCAAGTCTTAGCAGGGATTAGTTGCCAGCCAGCTGGGATCAAGGAGGGGTTAGGACTCCTAGGGAGGGGGAGAGGGAGGGGGAGAGGGAGGGGGAGCCCAGGAGAGAAGGGCTGTGATGGGAGACCAGAGGCAACCAAGGTGATGGCATTCCAAGGGCTGGTCCCATAGAAAGACACTTCCATAGCCTCTGCCTACATCACAATTAAGAAAACGCCACAACACACAGGGCCCTATTTTCCATACTTGAACATTCACTCCTTCATCTATTCAGGCATTTATTTCATTCCATCCATGCACCAGCTAACAGATATCTAATAGTACTCATTTGTGCTCAGCATTCATTCTGGGGCATCTAAAAACATTTTAGGTGAGTAATTAAGAGCCCAGAACAAGTTCTATGCCCTGGCGAGGTTGTAGAGCGATGGAAGACCCTGGGGAAAGTTTTAGGCTTTTCTCTGCACTGATTCTCAGAGCAAGTCACTCTGCCTCTGAGCTCTGCCCCTAACGTAGGCACATCAATCATACCTTCCCTGCCCACTCCCAGTGTTGTGAGAATCAAAACAGGTGCTGAAGGTGAAAGCACTTTGACAGTATGAAGAGGGATAAGATTCTTAACACTGTTTTTAATCCTTCCTTTCCCACATTTAATCTGGAGTTGTGGCCACATGGGACAGCCCTTCCATAGAGTTAATAACTAAGAAATATATTTTCTGAGCCTCTATGTGTTCCGGGTACTGTGATGGGCTGCAGAAATGAAGAGACAAACCGTAGTCTCTGCTCTCAGCAGCTCCTTCAGTGCTTGAGGGAGCGATGGGGTTTGAACAGAAGGGTCAGAGTGCTATCCTCGCACTACACCACCTGGACAGTCAGGGGAGGCTTCCTGGAGGAGGTGGGAAGGCTCACTATTGACTGAACTCTGGCTTTACACATTATACTCATGGGCCTGTAGTCCACAGGGGGAGACTTGGAATACTCTCTCTGATGCTCTGGTGAGGTTGCGGCCCCTCAGTATTACCCAGAGGGTCTGTAACCCAAGGGCCTAGCAGCTACCCACTAGTGATGCTATTCCTTCCCTCCTCCCAGGATCCTCAAGGAGCAAGAAGACACAGTGAGGGAGGACACCATCCAGGTTGCCCGCCCTGCCAAGAAAAAATCCTGCTGTGGCTGAAAGGCACCGCTTCCGCCTCTCCCCCAGGCCTGGCTCACAGGGCCCACCTGAACGCTGCGCATGGCTCGGCACAGGTGCCCCCGCCGAGGCCGGCCCAGACCTCTGTCCTTGACAGGGACTTGCCTTCCCCAAAGAAAGGGGAGCACCTCCACTCAGGAGAGCTGCTCTTGGAGCACCTTAGAGTCTTTCCTCTTCCTTCTTTCTCTAGATCCCAGATGCCCATTCCTTTCCCTCCCTCCCCCCACCTCCAGCTTGGCTTCCTGGGGAAAGAAACAGATGGGCTTTCCCAGAGAAGCCACCACGTGCCTTCTCCACCCCCCTTCTCCCCCCAACCCCCTTGCCTTTAAGAGCCTCAGCAATGCAGTTGCCATGGTAACTGTGCAGGGCAGACTTGCTGCTTCCTGCAGGCCACAGATACAGCACCTGTGCAATGAATGCCAGGGTGGCTGGTCGGGCTTTGGCTCCTGTTCTCTGGATGCCAATGGGACACTCTTGGCATATGCTTCATGGACCTCAAGGTGCCTGTGTGGTGTTCAGGGGAGCAAACCTGGGCACCCGCATCCTATTCCTCACCCACATCCTCCACCCCCAGGGGTCCTGCTCCTCTCCAGGCTTCAGGGCCCAGCCTCTCTCAGCAGCCACTGGCCCGTGGTATTTGCCCCACGGGTTCTCAGAAACAGTGCCTTATAAGAACCCCAGCCTTTTCTCCTCACCGCCCACCCACAGCCAGGACTCCCAGGTGGGCTGGGGTGATAAATGGGTGCCTAGAGTTAGGGAGTGGGCTTACTTCCTGCTTCACTTTCAGAGATGAAAAGAAAACCAGGGGGGAAAAACCATCTGCTGCTAAACAGAGCGACCATTTCTGGAGGGTATAAATAAACTATAGCTATGTAAAGCCATTTTCTAAATGTTTCTCAAAATAGCTCTCTGAGAAATTGTACGTGATGATTGACAGGGTAGCTTGACATGCAGGCAGTGAGGCCCAACACCAGGTCCATCATTACTGACTTCATTTTATTTGATTTGAGGTTTTCCAGAAGACCGTGTGTGTGTGTGTGTGTGTGTGTGTGTGTGTGTGTTTTAAGTGTGGCTGTGATGGTGACATTTTGCTGGTGTTTGTCAAGAGAGTGTAGCTGCTGGCCTGGGCACCGTGACTGCAACAGCTCAGGGCATTGGAATGAAGGGAAGGTCTGGGCCTGTGGTGGTCTCTGGCCTGGGTGCTGATGAGTGCCCAGCCCTGGCTGGCTGGCAGCGGAACTGGCGAGGGCACTCTTGCCCTGGGAAGGAAGTTGGATGAAATGACCATAAAGATCACTGCCGATGACCATTCTCGGGCTGTGGGCCCAGGCCCGCAGGAGAGGAGGTGGTGAAGGCAGAGAGGCAAAAAGTGCCCACACGCCTCTGAGAAGATGACTCAAGACAAATGCACACAGTCAGCCAGGCTGGGGAGAGGCGACAGTTCCCAATGCTCTTCCCTACATCCTCTCCACTGACCCCCAAAGGGGTCAGAGCCCCAGGGGTCGCCAGGTAAATGCCCAGTTCTTTTGCAGACTCCTCTCTTCTCTGTCATCCAGCCTTCAGAGGCACCAGGGAGCCCGTGAAGAGTGTGGAACAAAACCCAGCAATGAGCACTGGAAGGTGCCCCTTGATCTTGGGCAAGCCGGCTCCCTCCCTGGGCCCCCGTCTCAGCAGTAAAGTGAGCAGTGGGCTATTTGATGCTCCAGGCTCTTCCCCCTCAGAATGCTTTTGACGACCTGCTCATTTTCCCACTTAGGCTGCTCTGGCCCCACTCAGAGTTCGAGGGGAACTTAAAGGAGACTCCATTTCCTGGGAGAGGACACTGGTGGTGGTCTCATTCGTGGGATGCGTGGGGGACGGTCACCCGGCGGTGGCCCTCTTATCTGGTGTGTTGCTGTGTGAATGTATGTTTTACGTGTATGGAGTGCAGGTGGAAGGTAGGGATCGCCAGGGAGAAAGGGAAGCAGCTGTCCTGCTTCTGATGGAAACAGGATGGCAATTGGGATTTATGGGGCAAGCAGGCTCTCCGTGGGGTTCCCTCAGCCATAGATGCATCTGTCCCTGAACACCTGACCCCTGGCTCGGGCTGCATTTTTTCCATTTAGGAGAAGTGGATTCAGGACTTAGAGCAGGGTGGGATGACCCTAGTGCCTGGCCTTCCAATGTGTGGGGTAAAGCCCCACAAACCCTCAAAGGTCCCAAGAGACAGAAGGGCAGAAAGTGTCTTCAGGCCTCTGCTGCTCCCTTTTCCAACCTCACTTGAAGAAGTGTGGAGCATGAGGACTTCAGAGAGACTCTGAGAAGTTCTGTGTCCCCACGTCTCAGCCTTCCCTTCTCTCCTCCCCTTCTCTCCCATTCCTTTTAAGGAATTTTTTAAAATATATTTTATTGATTTTTTACAGAGAGGAAGGGAGAGGGATAGAGAGTTAGAAACATCAGTGAGAGAGAAACATCGATCAGCTGCCTCCTGCACACTCCCTACTGGGGATGTGCCCACAACAAGGTACATGTCCTTGACCGGAATCAAACCTGGGACCCTTGAGTCCGCAGGCCGACGCTCTATCCACTGAGCCAAACCAGTTAGGGCACTCTCCCATTCCTTTTAAACCACCACGGTGATTAAAGTCACCCAGGGATGGTCAGCCTGGCCCCGAGCCAGCAGTGCTATCAGAAAAACCTCTTCTCCATCCCATTTACATTGCTGTTATGATCTTGAGCAAGTCACTTCACCAGGCTTCACGTTAATCTGTAGATTAGAGGTTTCAACATCAACCTCTCAGGGACATTTAAACTAGTAAATAAAGCAATGTTTGTGAAGTACTTAGCACAGTGCCCAGCACAGGAGGCGCTAACAAATAGGGGCTATTACTGTTGAGCTGCTGCCCAGACCCTTTTCCTTGCTTCAGTTTCAGATAAGAACCAACTAACACCAAGTGCTTACCCCAAACTGGATAAATCCCCATTTCCCAGTCCAGTTACCTGGCTGATGAGTTTGTATCTGGCTTTGCCTCATGGCCTTTGGCTTTCCAGTCAATGTCTGTAGTCTACCAGTGTCTGTGGTCTGATTTCAGCCCATAGCCCACTCTCCCTCCCTATCTGTGGTTCTCCAGGACTCAGATAGCAGCTCAGACCTGGTGCCAGCTCCTTGGTGTTTACCTGGGAATGACCTGTGCTCGTTGTCATTCCTGGATCCTCACTTCTTGCTGTATTCTGCTTCCTTGTGCTTCTTCTGGGGTCTGCTGCTGCCCTCAGCCTTGAATTGCCAAACCATGAGCTCTGGCACCAAACCAATGCCCCATTCACTTTCCTTTCACAGACTCTTTGGGGTCCTTTCTGTTTCTCTGTGATACCCTAGCTTTCTTCCACATCTTCCCATCTTGTACTCTTTCTCTATTCTTTTAATATATATATATTGATTTCAGAAAGGAAGGGAGAAGAAAAGAGAGATAGAAACATCAATGATGAGAGAGATTCATTGATCGGCTGCTTCTTTCTTGCCCCCTCCTGGGGACGAGCCAGCAACCCGGGCATGTGCCCTAACTGGGAATCAAATCATGACCTCCTGGTTCATAGGTCGATGCTCAAACACTGAGCCACTCTGGGCTCTTTCTCTATTCTTAATACCTCCACCCAGTCTTGGACTCTCCTTTCTACTCTCCCCTGGCCTACTCCAGGCCACTCCTGTTCGCTCTATCTAAAATGTCTCAGCCTTTGTTTTTGTCACAAGAGATCACTGCTCCAAAAGATCTTAAACCAATTTCTACTAAGGTGTTAATACAAATGGTGGCTTCAGGGCTATATTTACATTTTAACAAAGAACTCTAAGGGAGACCAAAACTTTAACCCAAGGAATGAACTCTTAGTGGTAGACTATTAAGCACCATAATGGGTCATGGGCATCAAATATTTAAGACAGAGCTGCCTTCTCCTAGACTGCTCTTAAAGACCTCAGTTTTCTCTATGTATTTTGGAGCTCTATTTCTAGGTTCATATATGTTTGTAGTTTTTCTTTATGAAATAGCACTTTATCATTATAAAGTATCCTTCTTTGTCTTTATAGCAATTTGTATCTAAAATCTATTATTTATGATATTAGTATAGTCACAACAGTTCTCTGTTAGTTGCTGTTTGCATGGTGTATTTTTCCATCTTTTAACTTTCAACCTATTTGTGCCTTTGAGTCTAAAATGATCCTCTTATAGACAGCATATAGTTGGATAGTGTTTTAAATCTATTCCTCCCATCTCTGCCTTTTAATTGGCAAGTTTAAACTATTTAATGTAATTAGTACATTAAGATTTATGCCTGCCATTTTGCTATTTCTTTTTTATATTTCAACTAGAGGCTCGGTGCATGAAATTCATGCAAAGGGGGTGGGGGGGGTTTCCTCAGCCCAGCCTGCACCCTTTCCAATCCAGGACCCCTTGGGATCGGGCCTAAACCGGCAGTTGGGACATCCCTCTCACAATCCTAGACAGCTGGCTCCTAATTGCTCACCTGCCTGCCTGCCTGGTCGCCCCCAACTGTCCCCCCTCTGCTGGCCTGGTCACCACTAACTGCCCCCTCTGCCGGCCTGGTCACCCCCAACTGCACCCCCTGCCAGGCTGGTCACCCCTAACTGCCCCCCCCCCACCAGCCTAGTCTCCCCATGCAGCTTGCTGTTCAGTCATTTGGTCGTCCCTCAATAACCCCCCTGCTGGCCTGGTCACCCCACACAGCCTGCTTGTTCAATCATTTTGTCATCCCTCACTAACTCTGGTTGTAGGCAGCCATCTTGTGAGGGTGTAAGGGTTAATTTGCATATTACCTCTTTGTTATATAGAATGTCTTTTTTTCCTCTATCCCTCCATTACTGCCTTCTTTTGTCTTAGTTATTTTCTAGTGTGCTGTTTTAATTCCCCTTTTTTTTTCATTTACTATACTTTTTTAAACTTATTTTCTTGGTGGTTACCTGATGTTTCTATTAATATCTCATTTATAACAAACTAGTTTAGATTAATACCTACTTAATTTCAACAGTACACAAAACTGCTTTTGTATAGCTTTATTACCCCTTCCTTATGTTGTTATTGTCACAAATTGCATATTTATACATTTTGTTTCCATCAACATAGATTTACAGTTATTTTATGGAGTTGTCTTCTAAATCAAACAGGAAAAAAAGGAATTAAAGCAAAAAATACATTTGTACCATTTTCTATATTTAATTATATAATTGCTTTTACCAGTGCCCCTTATTTCTTCATATTGATTCAAGTTACTATCTAGTGTTCTTTCATTTCAGTCATATTTATTATAGAGCAGGTCTGCTAGAGACAAACTTTCTTAGTTTTGTTTATCTAGAAATGACTGAATGGTAACTGTAAGATATAGAACTTTTGGTTTATAACGCCCCCTACCACTTGCCAACTTTCCCTCCTCCCCCCACCCTCCTTGCACGTCCTTCCCTGTTCAGTCAGAATGTCAGTACTTTGAATATACTATTCCATTGTTTTTTGGCCTCCATGGTTTCTGATGAGAAATCAGCTGCTAATCTAATTGAGGTTCTTTTGTATATGATGAATTGCTTCTTGCTGCTTTGATGTGCCTAGTTATGGATCTCTTTAAGTTTATCCTGCTTGGAGTTGGTTGAGCTTCTTGGATGTGTATATTAATGTGTTTCATCAAATTTGGGAAGTGTTTGGTCATTACTTTGTTAAATATTTTTTTCTTCCCCTTTCTCCTTCTCTTTTCTTTCTAGGACTCCTATTATGCCCATGGTGGCATGCTCTATGATGTCTCACAGGTTTTGAGGCTCTGTCCAATTTTCTTTATTCTTTTTTCTTTGTGTTCCTCATACCAGATTATCTCAATTGCCTTATCTTCAAGTTCACTGAGCCTTTCTTCTGCCTGCTCAAATATGCTATTGGGATCCTCTAGTGAATTTTTCATTTTCATTATTGTACTTTTCAATTTCAGAATGTCTCTTTGGTTCCTTTTTATAATTGTTACTTCTTTGTTGATAGTCTGTATTTAGAGAGACATTGTTTTCATACTTTCCTATAGTTCTTTAGACATTGTTTCCTTTAGGTCTTTGAAAATATTTTTAAAAGCTGATTTAAAGTTCAAAGAACTGATGTACAAATCAAGCTCTGCTTTCTATCCCTGCTTTCTTCTTTATATTCCATACCACATAGCCAGAACTCTGAGTTCATTTCTTAGCCCTACCTCTAAGCTCCTCCCCATTATATTTTATCTCTTCTGAATTGGAGGGAGAACATGAAACTCAGAAGTCCTTCAGATCTGAGGATCCTCCTCTCCATTTTGAGCTTCTGGGTTCTGTGCTAGAGATGAGCAGCCCAAGGAGGTATCCAGTTCCTTGGAAGTGAAGAAGGCCAGACATCCTCAGGCAGTTTCTCCTCCTGCCAAGAATTCAGACATTACACAAAGCTTTGGTCAAAAGCTATAAATGAAGGAAGACTGCAAATCAGAAGCTTTTTTAAAAAAGCAGATTAATGACTTCAAAATAATGAAATCACAGTACACAAACATACAAAACCTAAGACTTAAATGCCCTGTTGCTGAGTGACCCTGTGAGTACTGCCATCTCTCCTCCTGTCATCTGAGGAATAGAAATTGGTTTATACAAATTCTAATCAGGTTCAGTCAAAATTCATAGGATTTTACATTCTTATCCTGGGGTATATAGGTTGTGGTGGGGGGTATTGATAATGGTTAACAGGATATAGGAGGTTTCTAAACCTCCCCCACTTCCTGAATCTATTAACGTGTCCATTAATAAACATGTTAATTATCAGCAGTAGAAGTAACAAAGAACATCATAACTCTAACCTTGAACAAAGGTCAGTGGAGCCAAGTTAATTGAAGTGTCCTACTTAGGAAAAAGATCTTGCTGGAAATGCTGGAGGTTGGGAAACCACATAGCACTTGGCAGAGGACCTGGAATCAATGTGGAAACTGAGGAGCATTGGCGAGGTGGGTCATTCATCACCCTGCGGCAAGACTGAGTCAGGTCCAAGAACTGACCTATCTCAGGGCTGGGACTTGATCAGGGCTTTGGCTCTGATTCAGAAGTGGGACTTACAGGCTCTTGTCATAACACCAGGAGATTCCTCTCCCAACAAATGAGAACTCATAGAGCCAGTGAGGCCTGTGCTATCATAATGAGTTATTGCTTGATCCATCTGACCTATAAAAATAAATGCTACCCATAAAAACACCACACTACCAAGCAAAAATGTCCAAAGAACATGGACAGAAAGAATGAACTTTTTTTAAAAAAACTTGGAAACAGAAATTGAAACATGTGGACTTCAAGGGGCCTTAGAATGTTTGAGTAATGTGACTA